AATAATCAATCAACCAATCAATCTTTGCTTTTTGATAACTTAATATGCTAAGCCCATGCGTAGCCCATCCCAGTTAAGGATTAAACTGAAGTTCGCATGACTACGGATTCAAATGAGTTGAATTATTGATTTGCAAGTCAATAATACATCATCGATGTTTTGGGCTTATTATTTAACAAATTGAACCAAAACTGACTGCTTATAGCGAAATACTATCAAACAATTCAACTTTTATGAAACAAACAAAAATAATTTTTGTTTTTATTTATTGTCAACTTCGTAGCTTATATGCTCCTTTGAAGCCCGTTTCAAAGGTAGGAATGTATTCTTGTTGTTTATGTTCTTGATACAATGACTGTTTGTCTTCAATATTCTGTTTACAACTTGCTATTTTATCAACTGTCATTTGTTTAAACGATAGAGACAGCTGATTTGAAATTGATATCCCTTAGATTAAATACTGACCACGGACACTAATAGACTTCCGAATGTTGTCAACACTAATTATTTTCCTACTTTCAGTAGGTATGTACACCGGTAAGACTATTTAGGAATAAGTCAAGATACGTTATTGGAACACACGACATGATGTTAACAGACAGGAAGTAAATGATTGAACAAGCGCAGTGACGGTCTTGATTTAATTGTTTAAGTTACCATAACCATATTCATAAATTGTGACAGCGTTGTCAGGGCGTTGTCAATTTTCTTCGAATTATGAGTTTTGAATGTCACCTTGGTATCTTCCGTCTCTTTCTGTCATTTCAAATGCTAATGCATTCTGGGTAACATTTTCAATAGCATACCACCCCTCTACGTATCACCTACAACGAAACTTCTGAATTGTCACTTGGTGGAGTCAAACAAAATATTTGAACATTGGTTGTTATTCCATGTCAGCTAGGTACACATCATTTAGGTAATAAGAACAAATACTTGTCAGATTGTCGTCATAATAGACCGTTATGTAGACTGACATGTCTTTCTGTTGACTGGTACCTTGTAAAATTTAATATTCGCGTTATGTATCCCGCTCAAGCTTAAAACAGGATTCATAGCACACGTTCTCGTACTGATGTAAAAAAAATAGTTGCCCCCCCAAAATTTTTTTTTTTTAAATTGGAAAACTTGTGTTTTCTGTTGAAGTGACCATGGTGACAGACGCATGTCCATTTCAATTATTTGAGTGAAGAGCTAACACATTCTTTGATAAAAGATGTATCGTTTATTTTCTATTGAAAACAATATACTTAAATCTTTTTTTATAAAAGGGAATTGCTATTAGCGAAAGATGCTTGTTCATTTTTTTATTATGTGCTCTACGTTTTCCCTATGTACGATTGAATATTGCCTTCAGTGATATGAGAAGGTTGTACTTTAGAGACAACATTCAGGTCAAATCAGGAAATATCAATTTTGTCTACGGTATTTTCCCTTAGTTGGTTAATACTAGATTCTAGAAAATCAAATTGTATAAAGAGCAATATTAGATAATTATTACATAATAGATATATAATTGAATGTTCTAAAACAAATTCCTTCAATACAAATAATACTATATCAATGTACCATTTCATAAAATAAATATAACACGCAATCCTTTCCATGAAGATTTTATGATCTTACTCGTCCCTAGATCGTTCCCCTACAATTAGTTTTGTATACATTCTGACAGGGCCGATACAAATGTCTGAATTAGTTACTATTTTCCTCTAGTATAATAACAATAAATGTCTACTTCTCTATGAAAAATGACCAATATAACTTCTAATCGAAAGTCATGGAAACCTCATCGGATAAATAAATTAATATCCTATAATGTAAATCCCCTTAGCAATCATTATATCAAATTGCTCAAAATGGAAACTATACAAAAGTTTCAGCAAACATTTCTTTGAAAATTATTCAGATGTTCTTTGGAATGATATTGATTCAAACGCCAAACGTCATTTCCCATCAAGAAACAAACCTTTCAAGATGATGTATGCAATTTCTTTCTGCTGTATTTAAAAGAAGGAATAATATAATATATTCCCTCGTGAGATTAGCGATTTGTTAACTTATATAGACTTCTGTCAGAAACAACAAATGTTTCTTCAATAATTGCTAAATCTTTTGGAAACACAAATGTTTAACACAATGAATTACTGTAAGTTTACTGTCAGGGCGAATAACCAGCTACCAAAAACAGGTCTCCGAGTCAAGTAATATTACGAATGTCGTAAACACTATTGCAGCAAATGTACAATATATTTTGATTGCCTATTTTTGCATTACGTCATATTGCTTTCCGAGAAGGTCAACTCGATTGATATTTACTCTAAAAGCATAACATCGCTATGAATAGTCAATTAAATTAATATAACGTGGGCGATATGGGTAAGCATTTATATCACGTCAAATGACGTTAATGTCAGAGACAAAATGATGTATGTAAATCAAGACTACAATGGCATAAAATGGCCAATAAATGAAGCTCTAATTCTATGTCTAGGATTCAACATATTTCATTTTGAATAAACAACTCGCGGAAAGGGCGGAAAAGTTCTTAACAAATCCCTGATGAGGACGGAAAACATGTTTTACTCTCAATTTCAAAACTTGATTCATTCTTGAAATACTGTTTCGAAATGTTTCTGTTCTGCATGCATTGCAATCTAGTTGTTAGGTATGATACTAAAAGCTTTACAACTCTTTTTTATTGTTTAAGTTTGAAAATTGTAATATAAAGAATTATTGAAAGTTAACTGTCAGGACGAATAACTAGTTACCAAGAACAAGAATCCAAATCGAGTAATATAACGGTTGTCGTAAACACTATTGCAGCATTAATTGTTTATAAAATTGCTTTCTAAATATCTTATCTATTAACTTAATTTTGAGTTTGATATAAGAATTACTTTGGTATGTATAGTGCCTATTGTTGAACTTTTAGATTTTTACCACTGTTGATCTGTTTTCAGATTTTCCAGACGGATCCCCAGAGAGATGCTTCCCACGTGGGCTGCTGTTTGAGATTGCCAGACAGTGTAATATAAATTCATAAATAATCTTGCTAGAAATCCCGTTTATTTTGATTGCTACATAGTTATATTCAGTTTTATGTTTAACATAATTATGTGTTTGATGCTTTGTTTTATTTTTGCTTTTATACGTTTTTCACTGGTGTCATTCGGTATATCGAGAAAAATGACCGTGAAAGAATATCTAACGGTGTTCAAGCATTTCGATTAGATCGTGAATGCAATTAAGCGTAATTCTACATCAAAATCTGTGAAAAATGTGCTGTATTTTCAAAATTTGGAACAGACCAGAAAAAAAATTTGTCTGTCAAAATAAATTAACTTCCTCAAGAGTACTGTGCACTACTTTAAAGAAAAGATGCAGCACTATTTAAGAAAACACAAAAGGCGACACACGATTCAACGAGAATCTTTAATAAAAATCAAGTTTTGTATCTATAATGGTCGCATTCCAATATATCTTGATATGATCGTGAAGACAAGTGTGACCAGGCTTAATGATCAGAAAACAACATTTCTTTTACAAATTGATAATAATTTGCAATATCGAAAGAGCGGGAACAGATCTTTCATGATCCTTTTCACGATCATTAAAACGCGGTACCCGATCTAAAAACCATCCGAAATATCAATTTTTTACAAATACTCCCATTTTTGCAAAGTTTCTGGTTAAAATAAAACTTGAAGAACCATTTAAAACAGTAATATGGAACGATACTTTTAAGAGAAAAGTAATTTGTAAAATTCAAAATATGAAAAAAAATCATGTTTGTTTTACATTTTTATGTCACTGAAATGTCGATAAGCAATTTGCCTTTTGTAGTTTTGTAAAAACGGTGTACTTTTGAAACTCGATATTTCTCAGATACTGATCATAATGCCTTACCATTTTGATTGACATTTTTATTTTTTCGAAATTTATCATTATAACTCATTAAATTAAGATTTTTTATTGGCCTTGCATGTGTCCTCTCGAAAAGATTTCCTTCACGATCCTATACCAGGTCTTTCCCGATCCAATCTCAATACTTGACCACCGTTACTTATTCTTTCACGATCATTTTTATCGATATACCGAATGACAGTGTTTTATATTCGGTTTATATGTTTTCTGCCGAATTCAAAAAAGTTTTTTCTGTCTATGAGGCTCATGGAATACCACTTGAAGATTTTGTTGAATTAAACAACAATAAGATTATTGACTCAAATCAACAATATTTTTTTAAATTGAAGGTGAAGGATACCTTTTTTCCACTTTTTCCCTATGTTAATTAGTTTGCACATCATAGCTTGCTCTCATGAACAGATATTAACATTTGTAAAAGTTCTTTTCGGGCAGTTAAGTATTATTAGTTACATAATGTGCTAGTGACCTAATACGATCTATATGGGGTCAGTAAATTCCATATGTGTGAGTTCTCATATCCATATTATAACAAGCTGTAAAAAATCAGTTTCTCTGAATAGGCTTAATTCATTATATCTGTATAAAACGCAAAAACAAATAACAAGAAAGTTTACAAAGTACCGATTTAAAAAGTACTCGTGCTTACTGAAAGCTAGTTTACTAAAACCAAATTTCGGCTTATAAATACGATTTCGACTTTTTTGACGAATGTTTAATCAGATGCCGAATAATTAAAGGAAGTAAACGGGGGAGTGAGTGTTTAGTGCTCACAAACATGTTTGACCACGCTACATTCTTTTTGTGCCTGTCTCAAGTCAGGAACATGTAATTCAGTGGTTGTCGTCGGTTGCTTTATACATGTCATAATTTTTTTTCATAAATCGAGTTGTTTTGTCGTTCAGATTATTTCAAATTATGTCACGTGACTTTTATATCTGACTTTACGGTATGAATTGTGCTTATTGTGGAAGGTCGTATGGTAACCTATAGTTGTTCCTACAGTGGTCTTTGTTTGATAGTTGTATCATTTGCAATCCACATCCGTTTTGTATCCGTAGATAAAACAACACTCATTATCAAATAGTCTTTATTTGAACAGTAGAAGAACATGAATATAAAGATAAAACAACTGTCACATGAGGGTCTGGATGGGATTAACAGAAAAGACAATAATAGGCCACCACTACAGAAAATTGTCCAAAAATCTGAAAAAGATAGGCCAAAATATAGATTAGAGAACAACGGGTGCTAAAATAAAAAGAATATAGAATAATGGGCAAAATTTTAAAAGAAAAGAGAACAATGAATTAACATAATAAATACTACAGAATGAAAAGATCCCCCATCCAGACCCCCTCACATTATCTTGCTATCACAGACTTGGTCATTTTTCTCAATAAAACATTAAGTCTCGTTTTCACTTTTTTCCTTGACGCGTGCGATACCTGTAGCACGTATAACAACAATGTGTTGCTACATCGGGATTGTTGCAGACGTCTACACCAAACTGTCGGAGATAATTCCCACAATCCAATATTCCATATGGCGTACTGAAGGAAACCGGTCGATCCCCATATTCACAACCTGAAATTACATAAAAAAAACGTACACTCTCTTTTTGATATCAATGTATTGATACACATTCACTATAGATCATAGTTGGAAAGCAACTCTTCCTCTATCGCCTGTCAAGTCAACTCTAGAAATGCGACCTTTGAGTTTGCCCTGAATGACATCAGAATCCCCGTTACAATACCCAATGGCAGAGGTTATACAAATGATACCAGATTTTCGTACAAAGATGCTTGTAAGTGGTTAGAAAAGTTTTTTTTTTATCAACACTAAAAATTTGTGTACATACATGTATATAGGTTGGGTGATTTTAACAAGTCAAGTTGCCCATGCATACACATCATCTCAAAAGTCTCAAAATAGTATGTAAGAAAGTACATTGTATACTTATCCCATTTTAGCAATCTTAAGACACGTTTTCTTAAGCCCCTCTGTGGGTTCATTAGGGAGCTACCATTTGATTTTTATGGGGGGGGGGGGGGGGGGGGCTAGGATGAAAAATTTTGTCCTGCATTTTTTTTTTAGTTGTTATCTCTGTCCTGCCTTTTTATTTTTCCCTCTATTCGGTCCTGCATTTTTTTTTTTAAAGTTTATCCTGACTTTTTTTTACCTAACTTGTCATCCTGACTTTTTTTTTTTTTTGCAAGTGTCTCATCCTGCCTTTTTTTTTTTACTCAAAACTCATGTCCTGCCTATTTTTTTCAAATTTCATCCTAGCCCCATAAAAATCAAATGGAAGCTCCCTTATTATTTGTGGGATACCAATTTTCGTGGACTTCATGGGAATAGGTGAAACACGAATTTAAAAGGATAACGCAGTACAAATTTTTCATAGGCATGTATGCATACTTTGGCAAAACCACGAAATCAAAAATCCACGAAATTTATTACCCACGAAAATACATGAGTCCGCAGTAATTAAATAGTTTCCATTCACAGTCTAATTTCTTTCCCAATAAATGTTGGAAGTTTCTTGTTTTATTATGTACACTTTATTTTTAAAAAAGTTCGAGTCTTCCAAGGAACTCGTGTCACCTGCCATCTCATAATATGTAAGTAAACAAAATAAAAATAAGGAGATGAGGTATGATTGCCAATGAGACAACTATCCACCAAAGTTCAAATGAAGTGGATGTAAGCAATTATAGGCAACCCTACGGTCTTCAACAATGAGAAAGACCCATACCGTATAGTCGGCTATAAAAAGCCCCGACATAAAAAATATGAAACAATTCGATTGAGAAAACTAACGGCCAAATTTATAACAAAACAATTTATGAAAAACAAATATGACCGACACGAACCAACGACAACCACTGAACTACCGGCTCCTAACTTGGGACAGGCGCATACAGAATGCGGTGGGGTTAAACATGTTTGTGAGCGCTTAACCCTCCCCCTAACCTGGGACAGTGGTGAAAAAGCACAACATAAGAACAAACTATAAAAATCAGTTGAAAAAGACTTAACTCATCAGATCGATACAAAGCATAACAATCAAACAAAAACAGACCGGACGTGGCAGGGTATTTATCCATCCCTCATCCCTAACAATAAAAAGGACACTAAGTACTGATCTTAACAGCTAGTTCAAAGTCAATAACAACTGTTAAAAAATCATGTGTCTTAGACTAAAATATCAATCAGTACACATCCAACATCCAATGGATTTAGAGTAAAGACGTTATTAACAGTCAGAGGAAAACATGACCTTGTGCAATGCCAAAATAAAGGTATCGACAGATTGTAGTACCGTTAAAGCGGATATGTGTATAACAAAACTATTTAGTATGATTTTAATTTACTGATTACAAAATCAATATTTATACCAATAAAACAATATTTAAAAATCTAATTACACTGTTGAATTGGTAACCTTTTAGAATAAGTTTATTTAAAGGATTAATAATTATACCCGGATCGTATATAAATTTCCAGGCTCGGTAAACAACATCACCGTAAAATTTAGGATGTGCTATTAAGTTTTTTACAGGTACAAACAAACATGCAAACCAAATCGTTGTATCTATGGAAGACTTTGGTAAAGGTTTTAAGGTAACGAAATCCATGGCTTAATAATTTTCCAGTAATACATAGATTACGCTCATTGAAATCCAAAACGTCACTACAGACACGGGCAAAACGAACGAGTTGGGATATATAAATACCGTAAGATGGTGCCAGAGGAATAACGGACTAGCAAATACAAGTATATAAACTTTACTTGCCTATATTTAATTAATTCCAGAGATCATGCAAAATTGAACTTTGTCTCTCTCATCAATTATAAACCTTGTTTAATTAATCAAGCTCAAATACCATATTAGTGTAAGTATGGTAACTTACATTAAAATTGATACTTCTAGAATTACTTGAAAGATTCTATTTGTAGACAGAAAAAATCCTAGCTGAGTTAAGGAAGTTCGCTACTCTGTTTCAAAATAACAAGCTTTTTAGAAGACTGAAATAAGTTGCTAGTATTCCAATAGTGGAACTGAAATAGCAGAAAAAAATGAAGGGTCCGTGTCCTTGTTTTCGAGATATAAGCCATTGAAAATTTGGCGGGAAATGATTCTCTCTAGAATTATCGTACATTAAGCATTGACACCTTTTTCCTTTCAAAATCTATGAAAAAATAACAAGGATTTTATTAGATGAATAAACAACAAGGATTTTATAAGATGAATAAACAACAACAAAAAGCTGTATGCCTGAATATAATCGAAACAGCATATCGCAAGCGATGTATGGTTTAAATAGATTGTTGGATTGATTTTTTGTTGTTGTGTTCAGCGCCAATTTCAGCACTATTGGCTATTTCGTGGCGGCCACTTTGGGGAAAGCCGGAGTGCCCAGAGAGAATAACCGACCTTCGGCAGGAAAAATTCACATTCCAAGTCAATTAAGATTGGAGTGGAACGCATCTGCCACATGCGGTGTCGGAACTCACAACCTCAGTGTTTACAGGTTAGTAATTGCTGCTGTAGATAAACTAATTTGACCATTCGGCCATCGAGACCCCGCATGGTTTAGAAGAATGCACAAATTGTTTGGTTGATAATATTCACGTTGAGTTTTTGTAGACCCTTTAAATTTGTTAGAACAAACATACCTGGTATTTGGTGTTGACTTCTTGATTTGAGTCTCTCACACGTTTCGCAGCAGATTTGATTAACCGTGGGCATGTAACAATTAATTCGTAACTGGTTTTGCTGATCAAATGGTGCACATAAATCCGGGTTCTGATCTCCCCACTGGCATACTGAAACATAAGCAGAATATCATTGAGATTTCGTTGTGCTATAGATATTTTATGGTTGACATGAAAAATATTGACTGGGAGGTGTTCCTTTTATATAAATCTGGCTGGTATAATGCAGAATGTATAACAGTGAAAAAGTTGTAAAGCAAAAGTTTCGAGATCATCCAAAGCAAATTTTATTTTGAAACAATCTTGTTTTTTTTTTTTTTGTGATTTAATAAATATTACTGATGAAGGGATAGAAGTCTCGTTGCTCAGAAGTCATTATTATTATATATTTTTTTTAAATCGCACGAATTTCGTACGCCTGTTTTTGCTTCATATTTAATTTCCTTTAGTTTTGATACAGATCAATACAACAAAAGTTTAAAAGCCGCTTTTAACCTTTTTTTTTCATTTGATAAAATTTTATTTACAAATATATATTTACAATAAAAAGTGAATAGGATAAAACCCATATTCACTTAACATGATAAACATTGTTCATATCAATTGCTTGTTGATGAAATAGTAAAATACAAATTCAGTAAGTTGATGTCCTAATTAGTTCAAATATAACATGTATTCTTTATATATACCAAAAACTGAAAATCAAGAGTTACCCGTCTTATCATAACAATAAAATGAAACCTCTCAAAATTATATTTTAATTTGTGATCCATTATATTGTAAAACAGGGTTTCTATATAAAAAGTATTTCTCAAACAGATTTAAAAGCCGCTTTTAAACCGCTGGGTACTGCAAGTATTTGCAACGAAATGCCATGGTATCTCGTAATCATTATATAAATAATATCTCCTTTTAAAATTTCTAGAAAATGAAATATTGCAGCAATGAATAAGCATGTATCATATATGCATGTGCATTGTATCATTAACTAATTAGTTAAAACGACTAAACTCTATACAACTTAAGAAATTAGGAAAAAAATAACAAGTCAGAAATTGAACAGACAGTGTTTTGTTGTTTGCTGGTGTGCCAGGAAACATAACTCTGATAGGTCTGTGAGACTTATAGCATTTGGAGTAATATGGCTTCAGATGACATTTCAATTTTTTAAAAAAGCAATATTTAATTTTCTGCGTTATAATAGTCTCTTGCGAACTGTAGTGTATTGCGTGTTAGTCACGATGTTATTTGTTTTTCTTCAACATATGCTTTTTTTTTTTCCTCCTTGGAATCGTCGCCCACTTATTTGTACAAACCAAAGTAGAAATATTGAAACAAACGGCAAGTTTATTAAACTCGTAATTTCCTGGTTTTATAATAAAAATGAGATTATATAGGAATTTATGCATGTTTGATTGCAGTGTTTTTAGGGTTGTTAAAGCATTGATCGTTTAGACATTTTATTAAATAGGAATTATTTTATTCAAGAAAAAATTCCCGGAAGGAATATGTATTAATACAGGACGGAATAAATTTTACGTGTATAAAGTTTGAAAAGATTTAAATTGTAATTAGTATATGTAGCGCTGAAAGACAAAATTATTGACGTTCTATGCTTTTGACCTTAAATAATACTACGAAAAGAAGCTTTTAAATCTATATTTTCTCCTCGCTGCATTAGTGTTGTTGTCCAAAGAGACCTTCAATTGGCGAAATATGTACACTTATATTTCCTTCAATCTTTGGTTGATAATTTTTACTGACTTCATCTATATCATGTATATAGCTTTGTATTTTAAAAAAAAAGGTGTATCTTAGATTTCTCCGAATACAGTAAAACCTGTTTCAAGACACCACTTGTATAATTATAAGGGAGACAAAAAAACTGATCTCAGAAGACAGGTGGTCTTTTAATAAAGGTACATCCTATATGGAATGCACAAAAGAGAGAGGACCTAAAATTAATGGTCTTATAACACACTGTCAGGTTTTTGCTTAATAAATTTGGTCTCTTGATAGAATTGAGAATGGAAACGGGGAATGTGTCAAAGAGACAACAACCCGACCAAAGAGCAGAAAACAGCCCAAGGCCATAACTATGTATTAAGCGAGTTTTACTGTATTTAGATGATGATATATGCTTACCAGACTTATCTTGGTCTGCTAATGAAGGACACGTGAGACAACAAAGACGCTGATTTTCTGGGAGGTAACATAAATGTCTCTTTTCTCTGATGATCTGACAACGAGGCGTTAAATCACCGTATTCACATCCGGGAATTACTACAAAAAACAAACATTACACATTTATACAATGTAGATTAGTTACTTATTGAGAATTTAAAATAATCCAGGGTGTCATATTTAACCTATACCGCATAATTATATTATTACGGGTTGTATGGAAGAGGTCACCAAAAAAACCCTCAGATATTTGTTGCAAGGGTATTTTAACGCTCAGTCCAACGAGAATTAGTAGCTGGGTATGCAATAGTGGTTTATTTTTGTGGAGTCTATAGAAAACGTTATATCAAGTTATATAACATAATTTTGGATGTCTCCGATATTATAAGAAGAGAGGCGAAAGATACCAAAGGGACATTCAAACTGATTAGTCGAAAATAAACTAACAACGCCATGACAAAATAAGAAAATGACTTAGAGACAAACAACAGTTAACAAAACACAACATAGATAAGTGAAGACTGAGCAACGCGAACCCCACAAAAAAACGGGGATGATCTCAGGTGACCCGAAAGGGTAAGAAGATCCCGTTCCATATGGCGCCCGTCGTATTGCTGATGCAAGTACAAACTCGGTGATAAGTCTAGTTCGGTAAGTTACATTCAGGTAAAAGCAGGATGGTATTGTGGTTACGACGATTGGAACATATCCGCCGTCATCTGTGAAACAGATATTCCATAACGGTCACCCAACTTGAGATGGTCAGTCCGTAAAATTTTCATAGGGATGAATCAATTTCGACTTATTCACCATTTAGAACTCTTTGTTTAATATACACAGTATAGCTTCTTGTGAGCGGCAACTCTCTATCAAGGAAATCATAATAGGAAACGCAAGCCCTTGAATATCGTATCAACTGGGAGATATATATTCCATATGCAGGCGCTGCTGGAATGTTGCTACTTAGAAATAAACAGTTCACAATATTGAAGCTTAAATCATCTCTTGGGTCATAAAGCTTTGTCCTCAACTGATCCTCATTGTCAATTTATAGATGTAAGTCAAGATATGAGGCAGACTTAACTGTATCTGATGCATACTTAATTTCAAGTTCGATGGAATAGATGCATTCAACATAGTCGCCAGACTTTATTATTCAATGAGAGGACATAATAATAGATGCTAGGCCAAAAGCACAAACGTTTAAAATACTAAGGATGTTTATTACTACGATCTTACCTTATACAGTAAAGAAATATTCAAAGGAATATAACTAGAGGCTCTAAAGAGCCTGTGTCGCTCACCTGCATCTCAAACTATGGCCACTTTTAGTATAAATCATCATTAAATGGGAACAACTTTCTAAAGAGTTAACTGACAATTTCAGTTTCATGTTGACATATTTGTAGATCTTTTCCTGCTGACAATTTTTCCTTTCTAAAGTTTCTATCTATTATAGTGTTCAAGATAATAGGCAACAAATGCAGAAAAATGTAAAAATATCATTTAAGGGAAATAACTCAAATAACGAGTCCACTGAAGATTTTTACCATATGTCTGATTTGTAGATCTTGTCTTTCTGATCATTTGTGCTATTTAAAGTTTCTATTTATCTATTACAGTTTTCAAAATATCAGGCAAAAACGCAAAAAAATCGTAAAAATCTTCATTAAAGGGCAATATTTCTAATAAGGAATTGTCTTGCTGATCATTTTTGCTATTCTTCAGTCTATCTAGTATAATTTTCGAGATAATAAGGAAAAAAATTTTAAATGGTAAAAGTTGTCATTTAAGGGCAATAACTCCTATAAGACGTTGTCTTACAGTTTTGAGGTAAATAGACAATAGTATGAGCTCATCATTCTAAACGTTTTTGCCCTTGTCAGAATTTCTCTATTTATAGCAGTTTTCAAAATAATAGGCAAAACTTGCATTTTACCACTATGTTGTACTTTTAGCCATGTCGGCCATCTTGGTTGGCAGACGGGGTCATCGGACACATTTATTTAACAAGATACTCCAATGATGATTGTAGCCAAGTTTGGTTAAATTTGGCCCAGAGGTTTCAGAGCAGAAGATATTTGCAAAAGTTAACGGACGACGACGGACGACGGACGCCAAGTGATGAGAAAAGCTCGCTTGGCCTTTCGGCCAAGTGAGCTAAGAAGGGAAACACCAAAACGTAAAGTAATGAAAACATAAGAGATAAAAAATGGCGGTCCAATATTTCTATATCCAAACGGTCTTTTTTCAAAGGTTGTTGAAAAAAGAACGTCCAGATCATAGAAGGTTGGAAGGATGCTAAAATAAGAAGCACATACAGAATGGATTAACGACCGGCTAAAACTTATTTGTTCTTACCTACAGCTTGTCTATCTTTGTGTAACCTGCATTGTTCGCAACAAATGTCTCTATTTCGAGAATTATAACAATCAAATGGCTGTATATTTCTACATTGGTAGGACCAATCGCCGTATTCACAACCTACAAAGGAAATATAATAGTAGTTTCAAAACTTATTGCATTTGATTTTCATGTCTATTAATGCGATTGTTGATAAAAAAACGAAAATTTTAAATAATAAAATGTGATTAAGCAAATAATATAACGATTTTCTTTTTGGTTTTGCGTTAATAAGTAAAAATTGCTGACTTAATATATATAATGATTGATTATTGTTTGCTGATCGTCCAGTTACAAATATTTCATGCATATTTAAGATAACAGCTACATGCAATTGGTAAATTCTGTTAAATGGGTAGATCGAGATGAACAAGATTGGAATATTGGACTGAGGACATATCAGAGAGGAATAGATATTTGGCCCTAGAAAATACAAATCAAACAGTTTTTAACTTCTTTAAATCAGAATAAATTGACACTTCAAGTTTCTTAAAAACATCAAAAGGTTTTCCTTCTTCCTATCCCCCCCCCCCCCCCCCCCCCCCCCCCCGCACACTTTTTTTTTCACTTTGTTAAACACAAAATCCGATACTAAAATTTGTGACTTTAACTTCCATTCTTTGCTTAAAATCATAACTAGAGGCTTTAAAGACCCTGTGTCGCTCACCTGCATCTTCAACAATGAAAACATTTTTAGTTAAAATCATCATTAAAAGGGAACAACTCTATTAAGAGTTAACTGACAATTTCAGTCATGTTGACATAATTATTTGTAGATCTTATCCTGCTGATAATTTTTCCTTACTGAAGTTTCTATCTATTACAGTTTTCAAGATATAAGGCAAAAAATGCAAAAAAAAAAGGTAAAAAATTATCATCAAAGGGCAATAACTCCAATAACGAGACGACTGAAGATTTCGACCATCATGGCTTATTTGTAGATCTTGTCTTGCTGATCATTTGTGCTATTTAAAGTTTTTATCTATTCCAGATAAAAGACCAAAATGGGAGAAATTGTCATTAAAGGTCAATAACTTTAATAAGGAGTTGAGTTACAATTTTGGTCATGTTGACTTATTTATAGATCTTGTCTCTCTGATTATTTTTGCTTCAAAAGGTTCAATCGATCTATTCTAGTTTTTAAGATATATGGCAAATACGCAAAAAAATGGTAAAAATCGTCATTAAAGGGCAATAACTCTAATAAAGAATCGTCTGACGATTTTGGTTTGACTTATTTGAAGATTTTGTCTTCCTGGCTATTTTTGCTTTTTAAAATTTCTATCTATCTTTCATAGTTTTTTTAAAGATATTAGGCAAAAACGCTAAAATTTGGCAAAGATCGTCATTAAAGGGCAATAACTCTTATAAGAAGCTGTCTGACGATTTTGGTCATGATGAATCATTTGTAAATATAGTCTTGCTGATCATTTTTTTCTATTTAAAGTTTCTGTCTATCTATTATAATTTTCGAGATAAAAGGGGAAAAAATTTAAGGTAAAATTAGTCTTTTAAGGGCAATAACTCCTATAGATAGTCGTCTAACAGTTTTGACTGAAAAAGACAATAGTTAGAGCTCAACATTGTGAACATTTTTGCCCCCGTCAGAATTTCTCTATTTATGTCAGTTTTCAAAATAATAGGCAAAACTTGCATTTTACCCCTATGATCTATTTTAGCCATGTCGGCCATCTTGGTTGGCAAGCAGGTCATCGGACATGGTTTTAAACTAGATATCCCAATTATGATTGTGGCCAAGTTTGGTTAAATTTAGCCCAGTGGTTTAGGAGAAGATTTTTGTAAAAGTTAACGCACGCCGACGACGACGGACGACGGACGCCAAGTGATGAGAAAACCTCACATGTCCTTTCGACCAGGTGAGCACAAAAAAGCCTTTTGATTCTGACACTCTAAAGAAAAGAACATTTCTAGTAAGTTTCTTTAATTATTAAGCATACGCAACATTTATCATAATATCCATTTCTTGGTGGTAAATTGCTTTTTAATTGGCAGGTACTTATAAGATTTAAGTACCCTGTTCATTTGCTGATGTCTTTTTTGATTAGGTGATTATATCACAGAGGGGAGTTAAAGCCATAGGTATTTCATCTTCAGTCCTATATTACAGTTCGTTATCTGGTTTTTTTTTCTTCTGTTTTCTTTTTTCTCGTTTTAATTCTACTGGGAAATGCTTAAGAGCACACGGAAGTAACAATTTTCAGGATTTTGCTGTTTGTTTATTTGAGATAATTAACTATATATATTGCTGGTTTTTATTGTTTGTTTTAGTATATCTCTCATATCCTTGATTATCAAATTACTGATTGCATCCGTTTTCAGTGTAAAAATTACTAATAGATTTGAGTTTCTAGTGTGAACCGCTTACGGTTTTGAAGCACAGGCAATAACAATTTCTACTGTGAACCGCTTACGCTTTTAAAGCACACTTCAGGCAATGACAATTTTCTGGGTTTTGTTCTTTTTTTATTTGACACATTTCTTCTATAATTACATTACATGTATATTTCATTATAATACGTTATTTTGATTGGCTAACAGCAATCTCGCGTCATTCTAAAATTAACTTTCATTTCAAAATGAAATGTAACATTCATGATGACACGAGCTTCCAAAATAAAGTGCAAAGGTAATTAAAAGAAAAACTTGATAGAAATCGGTTTTCATGATCTTAGCAAAAAAAATGTAATTAAAGTATTGAATGCTTCTTTTAGTAATTTTATAGGGTTGTAAAAGCGTTGACCGTGTGCACATTTTTAGAGTGAGCGCTTCCGCGCTTCATACAAAATGTACTTCGGTCAACGCTTTTACACCCCAATAAATTTACAAAAACAAGTATTCAATTCTTAAATAAATTGTTTTTTGTTGTTGTTTGTTTTCGTTTATTCTCTGATATCCGTATTTACTTATCGCATCCGTTTTCATTGTATTACAATTAGATTCGAATTTAAAATTGTCTACCATGCGTAAAGGACATACGTCTTGAAATAATGCGATGCGTCCGTGGTGCTATTTATTCTTTTAATGATTGTTAAATTCGAAATTCACTGTGCTTAAAATGTTGAATAACTGGTAATACAAATGTTGTTTTTTTTTCTATTCAAAGGCCTTAACGGTATTTGGTACATCTTTTCGCAATTTTCGGTTTTAATGCTCTTCAACTTCGTATTCGATTTGGCCTTCCAATTGTTTTGATTCGAGCGCCAATGATGAGTCTTACGTAGACGACAGAACACGCGTACCAGATTATAAGCCTGATATCTTTGATCTTTGAACGGGTATTCGAAGACAGACTTTTAATTTGCTTTTTTCCCATTTTCCTTTTTATGAGTTTCTGTTTTTATAGCGTATCATCTTACCTGTTTTGTCTGCTTTTTTCAGTGACAAACATCTTTCACAGCACTCCCTCGAGACTCTTTCGTAATTATAGCATATAAAGGATCCTAGTGTATTGATAGCTTGTGAACAACCCATATTATTAATAAACACTGGCGTAGGTTCTGTAGGACATGTCTGAAATATGTCTGATTATCATATTATCTAGGTAATATTTTCCTTGTAATTTATGATGATAATTTCCCCATTTTTGTTATAGATAACTAAAGAGGCTTTAATTTAACACAAGTGTGCTCCTGTATGGTATATAAATCCTTCTGCACATTTATTTTGGAAAGGTAAACACTTTCCTAGAAGAAATACGTTTTGTTATTTGAATTGTTTCACGTTTTACTATCACATGGCCTCTGTTTAATAACTTTCTATATATATATGGTAAAGATTTTGCTGATTAGAGGCCGTAAGAGGACTTATATAGTTGTTTACATCCTAAGGTTTGTCACGAGGTCTTTTTCCATTCTCAATTTTATTTATTTGGTCAGTAGTTGTCTCATCGGCAATCAAACCATATCTTCTTATTTTTATCTGTAAGTTCAGTGTTACCAATCTAAAATCTTGATAAAATTGAGAATGGAAATGGGAAATATGTCAAAGAGACAACAACCCGACCAAAGAGCAGACAACAGCCGAAGGCCACCAATGGGTCTTCAACGCAGCGAGAAAATCCCGCACCCGGAGGTGGTCCTCAGCCGGCCCCTTAATAAAATTGTGTAATAGTTCAGTGAAAATGGACGTCACACTAAACTCCAAAACATATAAATGTTAAACAAATCAAAATTTTGTCAGACAAAGTGTGTGGACAGTGTAACTAGCATAGCATCGTCCATCATCTGATATCATGAAATACGGTATACATTTTCTAATCTTTCCTGTCTAATACATTAACGTATTTTATTAGAGTAACACGACTGATGTGAAATTTGGATCTGCTAACCATTCGGGTGCACCTGAGATCAACACCGGTTTTGGATTGTTTCGCTTTCTTGTGTTTTAAAGACTGTTGTTTGTCTTTGAACGTTTTTCGTTTTTTGTTGCCATGCCGTTTCCAGTTTGCCCTTGACCTCCGAGTTTAAGTTTTCTTTTGATATCTTCCGCCTCTCTAATACAAATGAAAATCTTATAGTAAAATTCATTTATATACTAATGAAAATCTTATTGTAAAAAATTGTTTATATACAAATGAAAATCTTATAGTAAAATTCATTTATATATTAATGAAAATTATTGACAGTCACAGAATTCTAAAAGGGAAAACTAATTAAAAAACATTGTTTGTATTTATATAGCACGTATTAGTGTTTCGTATTTTAACAAGCATTTACTTTAAGTACAGAAAGTTTATCATTTCAAATCATTTCAAGTAGCAAATGGTTAACATTTGAATTATCAATATAGATATGTTGTAACAGTAAGCGCGTGTTACTTATCTTTCAACAACTGTTTATTGATACAAGTTTTCTGGTAACAGATGAAGGCTGTATGGAGATACATCTATACGTAATACTGTTTCTAGTAACTCATTATTATATAAACAACTTAAGATTTAATTGGGGCAATCAAGATTATGTCCTGTTGATACTTATAGTTATTACTTGTAAATTTTATAATCTTGAAATATTTCAGTCATGAGGCATCATATATATGCATATAATGAAACGTTTCAGTTGATGATGGCATACTGCCATACATAAATCCGCTTTTTACGTTTAATCAGAAGTCAATTACTTGAAGTATAACGCTGCTATATTGTGAGGGAGATCAAAATATTCCCTTACCCACACCTCGGGCTATTATCTACTAGCAATACTGCCGGCATATAAGGGTAACAAAGATCAAAATATTCCCTTACCCACACCTCGGGATATTATCTACTAGCAATACTGCCGGCATATAAGGGTAACAAAGATCAAAATATTCCCTTACCCACACCTCGGGCTATTATCTACTAGCAATACTGCCGGCATATAAGGGTAACAAAGATCAAAATATTCCCTTACCCACACCTCGGGATATTATCTACTAGCAATACTGCCGGCATATAAGGGTAACAAAGATCAAAATATTCCCTTTCCCACACCTCGGGATATTATCTACTAGCAATACTGCCGGCATATAAGGGTAACAAAGATCAAAATATTCCCTTTCCCACACCTCGGGATATTATCTACTAGCAATACTGCCGGCATATAAGGGTAACAAAGATCAAAATATTCCCTTTCCCACACCTCGGGATATTATCTACTAGCAATACTGCCGGCATATAAGGGTAACAAAGATCAAAATATTCCCTTTCCCACACCTCGGGCTATTATCTACTAGCAATACTGCCGGCATATAAGGGTAACAAAGATCAAAATATTTCCTTTCCCACACCTCGGGATATTATCTACTAGCAATACTGCCGGCATATAAGGGTAACAAAGATCAAAATATTCCCTTTCCCACACCTCGGGATATTACCTACTAGCAATACTACCAGTAAATAAGGGTAACAAAGATCAAAATAGGATTATACGATTGGAAAATTCGTTGTATTGCTATGAAAATCGAGAATACAGACATTTTGTTAGGGGAAACTGTATGAAAACGTTCTATAATTGGTAAAAAAAACTATTTCTACTCGGCCATGGAATCTATATTTATTTTTCATGATAATACAGAGCGCCTAAGGATACACTACCTAAACCCCGTCTCATCTGAGGACACTGGCTAAGTAATCACTTATATGGGGCCAGTATATTTCTCTTGGTAATGGACTTTTGTTTTAACTTTAATAACAGGCTAGCAAATGTCAATCTCAAGATAATACGATTCGTATTTGCGTTAATATAGTGGCACCTAAAATTATTGTCTTGTTATTCATTGCTTGAAGTTGATACAATGCATGCACGGATTAAGCCTTGTTTAACGTTACAAAAAAGACAATACAATTTAAAAATAACCTTGTTCTTTATAAGTCGGAAACTCAGTGTAGATCTTGCTCAAGTAGTGGCACCACCCGTGCTAATTCAAATACAGATCCTGTGTCCACGTTTCGCTTGCGAAGATATGAAAACGCTCTGTTCTACTTTCTGTTCTGAAAATTTCACATCTACCAATGAAATTTCAGCCTCCTACTATTTGAAGGTGTGTATAGTTATAACAAAACCCGAGTATCCCGAAATGATCTTCAAAACAGAAAGTAGAACGGAAAGTTTTCTGATTTTTTTGTAAGCTAAGCATATACATAAGATGTGTATTTCAATCAGATTGAGTGACAGCCGTCGTGTTGATCATTGTGTAAAAGCCACTGATAAGTCGATTTTGGTGATTTCATAAACGAGGAAAAGGTGTGGGATTGTGACTTTAACCTGGTTAATAAGAATCTTTGGTTCAATATTTCCTCGTAAGCAGTAACCATGTTTCAAGTAACTCATGATATAAAACTCAAGCCCTCGAATTTCTGATTTACAATCAAAACATGTGTTTTACAAAAGCTTTATCGGTTATGTAATATTTTTTTAAGAATAAAAAAGTTGGATCTCATAAGTTTAAATGGATATACCTACCGGGTCATTTGAAACAACTCCTCTGTTTGGAATAAAATTTGAACTTCCACCATATACACGTTCATTTCTATTGTAAACTGGATATCTCGATCCTCCACCAACATATTGGACTCTTGTACCACCTGGATTGTACGAAACTCCACTACCAACATACGGTGAATATTGAGTCTGTCCACTTCCTGTTCCATACTGCGTTCTGGTTCCCTGTTGGTCTGTATTAGGATATTGCCGATTGGAACCGCTGGTTTGGTATCCAACCTGACTTGGTGGTCTATATCGATAGGCTGTTTGTGAGTCTGGTCCCGAATATACAGTACTTGTATATCGATATCCACTTTCGGCTCTTACTGGGGGACTGATTGTGGTAGAAAGAGTCGGCGGTCTTCGATCTTGTTCAGTTGTATATCGATATCTACTTTCCGTTCTTACTGGGGGACTGCTTGTAGAATAAGGAATCGGTCGTCTTCGATCTTGTTCACTTGTATCTAGATGACTCCTGAATTCGATCTGAGGATCACTTCCTATTGTAATAATTCTAGAATCATCCTGTGAATTGTCATTTTGAGTCTGATTTTCAGATTGTGTATCATATGTTGAGCTAACATATCTATAACCAGAATTCTCGGCACTACTTCGGTCCTGCTGTTCATTATTAACATGTTCACTGCGAACTAACGGTACTCCTCCGCCATTCGATGAGCTAGTTATTGGTAAAGGCTATGAAAAAAACTTTCATATTAATAACTCATTTATAACCTAATATAAAAATGTTAAACCTAACTTTAATTAAGATAAAGTTATTGGGTTTTTTAGTTAACTATTTTGTTGTATATATTTATATATATCTATTTTTAACGGAGTGTACTATATTGTTCAAGCTAGCCGGAAGAATAGTTAAAAATCTCTATTTTTCCGCCATCCGTTTGCGGATGCGCAAGTGTTCAATATCAACAGAAGTGTCATGTGGCCAGGAAAGTGTCCCGGATGAGGTGTCGGATTGCAAACGCGCGAATCATGCAATGGACGTTTTGAGAATTGGAGATTGTGATTTATATTTAAAGATGTCATATAGAAAATTAGAGGGAATGTGACTGCTTTAAAACAAATTTCTATAGGACAGACTCCAGAACAATAGCGTGTGCACGTAAACTGAGAGGAGTAAACCCCCCCCCCCCTTTTTTTTATTCTGTTTTATTTATTTTCTCAATAAAATTATTATGTTTCTGCTATCAAAAACACAATCTTACTTTGAGGGCAGTTTACATGTGCCTACCCTTTTCTCTTATTTTCTATGTGTTAAAAATCGCAGAACATTTTGAAAAAAAAATTGTGCAAAATCATTTGACGACTTCATTGGAACCAAACTTCAGGAAACGATAAATTCGGAATCTTTTTTAAGAATCATAGATGTTCATTGAAGCCATAAATATTGTCCGACTCCTAACCTTGCAGGATAGGTAGAAAAAAAAGGAGAGGCATTTTGACCCCCCCCCCCCCCCGATTCCCGTAGAATAAAAAAAAATCTGAATATGCTGTATACTATGAAGTAATTTTATTTTTTTATTTGCATTTTGATTTGTTGTAGTGAATGAATGGAAACTTTTAACTTTTTTGCACAATTTTTTGTCAAAACTATAAGTGACTTTAATTCAAAAGTGTATTTGCTGCATATCAATCGATGTTGATATTCTTTTTTTGTCTCATTTGACAAGCTGTATATTTACGGAGAATCAGCGTGTTCCATAGAACAGCCAGTAGAAAAATAAATCAAAGTTAATACTTGGAGAGTTGGTACAAGTCAGGAATATGACAGTTGTTATCCATTCATTTGATGTGTTTGAGCTTTTGATTTTGCCAACTGATTAGGGACTTTCCTTTTTGAATTTTCCTCGGAGTTAAATATTTTTTTGATTTTACTTTTTTCCTATTATAATTCTGTTTTTATTTTTTTTTATTCATTATTAGTTTACTATTTTATCTTGAGTTTATTATCAGTAACATCCGCAAAACGTGCAAAAATGAATAGTCCAATTCTCAGTTTTGCATGTGAAGAATTTTTTTGCCACTACATTCTCCACTGGATGCTACAATAACCACTTACCCAAAAATATATTCATTATTCATTGTTATGTCTGGCTGGATTATAGCATAATAGCAGAGAAACGCTATTCTTCCGGGTGGCCGGAAGAATAGACATTTTTTGCTACATTGTATTATTCCAGCTAGCCGGAAGAATAGCCACTGCCTTTTTTTTAAAATCTCGAGCCGTAAATAACCTGCTGGCAAGCTGACGTATAACGAAGAAAAATATAACTTTGATCTACATATTTAAACAGTTAAAGAGCTGATGAGCTATTTGACACGTTTAAAGAACCGTTCTTACTAAAATTTAATTGTTTCTCTATTCTAAGATTCATATGTCGATTGTTTTTTTCTTTTTTTTTTTTTTGTTGTTTTTTTTAGGGTTTGTATTTATCAAATTAATCTGTTTGTTTATTCATCTATTTCCAAATCATTTCATTTCATTTTTAAATCTTTATCTTTTACATTCGCTGTAATAAGCCTAAGACACGTACTGAACTTTCAAGCGTATTCATAAACGCGGTGTAATGTTTTGCGTTGATCATGCATGATGTATGTCTTTTACCTACCGGCAAATCATTTCCATCAATATATCTCTTCTGTCTTTTGATGTCTAGCTTTTCAAATATCGTTTCTGAAAGAAAAAAAATAGCAATCAATTAGATTCGATGTCAAAATATGGTAATTGAACTGTGCAAACGGAATTTTCTACTGGAACATTTATTACTGGTGTCAGAGAGCAAGTAGACATTAAAGGGGAAAATGAAGGAGGAAAAATAATTTTGGAAGAAGGAAATACATAAAAATATATATATCTATGCACAAAAGTCCTGATTTAGGTACCCATCTCTAAAATCACAACAAGCAGATATCGCAGCATTGTCCTCCTGAAATTCTCTTGACGTTTTTATTCTTTATTATTCTAACAAACACCCCTGTAGGTGCTAAAGTGTTGGGTTGCTTTTTTTCTGTGTTTAAGCTTAAAATATCGTTTGTTTGATTCAGGTATTTTGCCTTTAAAATTTGGTTGTTTTACCGTTCAACAGTTTTTATACAAAATTTTTGTACATTTGTACTTATATTACACGTTTTGAAAACTGTGCTAATGGTGGTTAATAGAAGTGCGTGGTCTTTTAATGCTTTTTATTAAATACACATGTAAATCCTAGTAGTAGACAAAATTCAGGAAAAAATCGTTCTGTACGGGATATCCTGTAAAATAATATATATATTTTTTTTTAAAAAAGCAGTGACCCGTTAGAATAATTCCTCTTTCATGTCTGTAGTAAAACATAAACTTAACTGATGGTGATTTTATAGTTAGAAATAGTACCATTTTACTACGATGTAATTGAATAAGCGCCTGTTTAGACGTATCTTATCATCATATCTGTCCATGAACTTCAAAGCTCATTTAGTAAACACGTGCTTAGTTCTTATAATGCATTCTTAATTGCCAGATCATATTGTTTTCAAAATAAAAGGAACACCTTTCAAAAGAAAAAGGATGAGCGATCATAGATAACTGACAGTTTTTGTTCTCAAACAACGTTCAGGTTGTTGCTGTAGTATAGGTATATTAGAGTTGAAAGAGAATCTCTAAGTTACAAAATCTTTGTGTATTTCCAAAATATCAAATTTATGTAGCAAATTTTTCAATCACTCTTGAAAATGATTGATTGATTGATTGGTGATTGTTTTACGCCGCATCAGCACAAAAATGCTATATCGCGGCGACTCTTATAATGTGTCATCTATCTCAGTTATAACGTTGAACTAGAATATTGTTTGTTTTTTCTTTTTTTTCACAATTCTAAATCTGTTATGAATAACACTATAAAACAATCCATGCAACGCCGGGTTCAAATGTTGCTTTTGGCAAACCGAAATATCCGATCCTGTCAGATGATAAACATAAATTTCATTTTCCTGGTCATTTTTAGATTGATCAATTGTTAACTGCGTCCAGCGGCAGATTTTTAATTCTTATTCAGAACGATAATAGAAAGCAATTCCCACATTGTACAGCTATGGCCGCGTATATATACATCCAGTACGGCAAATGGACATTGTAACTGGTACGATTTAACATGTTTAAATGGTGCATTTTGTTTATATATAATGGAGTAGGCCCAGTAAGACCCCTTTTTGGCCCCAAAATATAGCAGTTTTACAAAATTGTTAAAATGTAATTTTTTAGTTATTTATTGGAAAGAAGAATACTTCTGTTACATAAATATGGGCTGTTTTTGACAATACAATGCACATGTATCGGATACTAGCATCATAAAGTCTTGCTAAATTACTGAAATCTTCGAAATTTTAGCATTTTGGTTAATTTTTAGACGGTTTCCGTCTGAAATGGAAGTGGCCGCATTTGTGTTCATTCTTAATATTTAAATGTAAGTTGTATTTAATGATAATACATAACATATATAAAGGTTGAGAATGAACACGGATGCGGCCACTTTCATTTTTGACAAAATCCATCTGAAAAGTGACATATTATGGGATATTTGATAGATTTTTCATATTTAAGCTTGAATTTGAGCGTCTTTGATGACTAAATCAGTTCAAATCTTTCACATAAACTAATTGAATCGACTGAAGTAGACACTTAAGTGTTTAAAAAATGTCCAAAATCTTTCATCAGATGAACCTGAATTTTGAGGCCATAATCGGCCCTTACCGGACCTACATCTTTCCAGATCATAAAATTACGTAAATGGTGTTAACTCTCTCGGGGTTGTTGAGTTGATTTATATATTATAAGCTATTCTGTTAAGATATAATAAGCCACTTTTGGTGTTACATTATCAAATGTTGGGTTGGAAGCGTACCTGATGAAAGTAATCTAAAAACAACTAGAAACACCACACGGAAATCATGTACATTTATCATGCAAGGGAGCTACCCATTTGATTTTTATGTGGGGGGGGGGGGGCGGGGGGGGGGGGGGGGGGGGGGGGGGCTAGAATGAAAAATTTTGTCCTGCATTTATTTTTAGTTGTAATCTCTGTCCTGCCTTTTTAATTTTCACTCTATTCGGTCCTGCCTTTTATTTAGTTGTAATCTCTGTCCTGCCTTTTTATTTTTCACTCTATTCAGTCCTGCCTTTTTTATTAGTTTATCCTGACTTTTTTAACATAAATTGTCATCCTGGCTTTTTTTTTTTGCCATTTTGCTCATCCTGCCTTTTTTTTACTCAAAACTCCTGTCCTGCCTATTTTTTCAAATTTCATCCTAGCCCCCCCCCCCCCCCCCCCCCCCCCCCCCCTAAAAAATCAAATGGTAGCTCCCTAAGAGATGGTCTATGATTGGTGAAACAAAAATTAGTCTACTTTATCTTAGTTTGAAATTAGTCGATGTTCTTTAAACATTACCAATAATGAGAATCTGGGGCTTCACCGTGCCGTGTGTGAATTGCTGGTCCCCTATAAACCTAAGACACCACTCTTGTTAAATTAATGTCCTTATGAACATCTTAGAATTTCAAGAGTAATTAGGGCATAGAATTAACTTGAACTGGACACCCCTTTTTTGGTGACAAGATCTAAGCTAAATGGACGTTCGTATTGTTTTACGGGATGTATAAATACGCAGACACGTCATTGCAGAATGTTGACAAACAACCTGATTTTCGATCTATTCACGTAAAGAGAGTGCTATATAGACCCCTTACGACAGTCAGTTGATGGGTCTGTGGGTGGCATAATGCAAGGTAAGACATTTGTCCTTTGCTGTGACCCATCTGTCATACATTGTACCCTGTGTTTGTTGTGGCATTCCAAATTTCCAATGTATGTAATTAAAACACTAGAAGCACGTGCAGAAAGACACATTTATTTTCTGTGTTTGATTGACAAGTTGAACAGGTAAGAAACCGATCTGATATATGAGGTAGCTTCAAAAGAAATAAATAAGCATTTGAACTACTGCCCATATTTTCTGTTATCAGCATGCCGGCATGTAACATTTGGAGATTAATTTATGGATGCGATAATACTTTTAACGCTTAAAGAATTGAAGGCTAAATTGATTACTTGTGTGAACGAATTGTAACAGATGCAGATAGTGTTTTACTCCCTCTCAAATGAAATAAGGATTCGATCTGAAATTGTTTTGATAGGATAAGTTCTAACCTCTCATCAAATCTGTACACGTCAGAACATGCAGAATAGTCTTTCATAGAACAGTTCTACCTTGAACCATGCCAGGTTTAACCGACCATTATCTTCGGAAAATGCTTATAACGTGAGGGCACCCAAATTGCACCTATTTTGAGTTTTTCACCTACGTTTTTTTTTTATGATCCAGACAAAAGTTTCCATTCTGTGTTTATTTTGTAGATGTAATCTTATTTACTATATAGTTACACCAATTTAATTTTGAATTCATATTGAATCATAGAAAAATGGGTTTGAACCAACCTCCAAACGATCCATTATTCTGTAATGATGAGTAGCCAAATTGCATCCATGCTTTAATTCACATCCTTAAAAATCGAATAACAGATGTTTTGTTTTATCTCGTCAAATATTTAGAACAATTTGACATTAGTCCATGCTTACTATTCATTTTTTTAAGAAATGGATGCTTGTAACATATTTCATTTGCTCATTTCTAAAGATGACTTTTTGTGGACGTCGCATGGCGACACTTCCATAGATTTTACTTTTTCCAGTGAAGACTTCATCTGTTGATATATATATATTGCGAACGTTTTGTGTATATTTAAACATATTTACCTATGTTGAAAGGCGTGTATAATGTCAAATCATGAAAATACAAATTGTTTAGTCTCAAAGAAAACTTGTAAGCTTTCCACTGCTATTTTTGCTAAATAGGTGCAATCTGGGTACTCGGTGCAATTTAGGTACTGTGACGTTACCAAGTCAGGAATATGACAAATTGGTTTATCGCTCGTTCCGTTGGTTGATAACGTTTTATTTTGTTAGTTTTTATGAACTTCCCCCTTCTTTTATTTTGGGAACTTATCATAGAGTTCGGTATATTTGTAATACCTTTTTTCTGAAACATTTTTACCCTAACTATCAGAATCTGATCTTTAAGGAAGAACTGTCAACATATGTCTTAGATTAGAATAGCAAAACCTGTCTGTTCTATAGGTTAGAACTGTCAAATTGTCAAAACCTGTTCTATAGGTTAGAACTGTCGAGTTGTCAACATATGTCTTAGATTAGAATTGCAAAACCTGTTCTATAGGTTAGAACTGTCGAATTGTCAACATATGTCTTAGATTAGAATTGCAAAACCTGTTCTATAGGTTAGAACTGTCGAATTGTCAACATATGTCTACGATTAGAATTGCAAAACCTGTTCTATAGGTTAGAACTGTCGAATTGTCAAAATCTGTTCTATAGCTTAGAAATGTCGAATTCAAACACTGTGGTGTAGGATAGAACTTTCAAAATCGTTTTAGGTTAAAACCGTCAACTGCTAGCTGTGTTAATATGTGGGTAGAACTGTCAAGTATGAATTCAAGGACAGGTGATGTTTATGTCAATGCGAAAGCAACTCATCAACAAAATTAAACAAACTTTAAGGTATCTAGCGGGTGACATACAGTCTCCAACAATAGACATATGTCTATATACATGTACATACAACATT